TTGCTTTTATTCAAGCAGATCCTATCCACCGACAGCACCCTCTCCCTCAACATCAATACAAATTCACGAAAATGTTATACTTTCCAATTAGCCTATGCCATGTGTCAATGAAATAATAACTAACAATTTAGAACATTTTATAGAAGCCAACCAGTCTGCTATATCTTCATATGTATTAAATAATTTAATCATCACAACCACCTTATGAGGTAGCTACAACTATTTACTTCACTGTGTAAGAGATGAAACTTAGGGTAGATAGTTTGAAGTGACTTTCTCACGAATGCTTTATGAATGACACTTGTGAAGAATGGTGAGACAGACCTTTTCAAAGCCAGCTATGGAGATAGGTTTTGAGTCTACGGCAGTAAGGTCTGGCAATGCGGGAGTGAGATTGGACTCAACTCTAACTCCCATAAGGACAAGTGGGAATTTATAACCAAAAAGCAGGGCGGGGAGCAATGGATGAAAAATTACTAAGAGGAAACATCAAGGATAAAGGATTTCTGGCTAAACTGACCTGACAGGATTATTGCTGAAGGCAGGCCATGGTGATAAGATATTGAGGTTGGTCTGATGCCAAGGGTGGGGGATATTCATTAAAGTGATGTGGCAGGATTCTTGCTCCAACTGGATTCTATAGATGGTTCCTAACTTACAATGATTTGATTTTATGATGATGTGAAAGCCATACGTATTCAATGGAAACATACTTCCTATTTTGAATTTTGCTCTTTTCTCAGGCTAGTGATTTTACAATACAAGACCCTCTCCTGGTGCTGGGCAGTGACAGTGAGCTGATGCTCTCAGTCAGCCATGCAATCACGAGGAGCATGCTTAAGGCAGGCTGCGCTAAACTATGATGTTCAATAGGTTAGGTATATTAAGTGCACTTTCCACTTGGAATATTTTCAACCTATGATGGTTTTTTTTTTTTTTTTTCATTGTAAATTCATCCTACGTCGAGGAGCATCTGTACTAGAGGAAACACCAAGATCAGGCCTTGTCAAGCAGAGGACTCAGAGAAAAGCCTAACTAAAGTTTTGGTCAGAGAAGAGAGTGCATGTCAGCGCTATCGCTATTCAAGTTTACATTGAGAGGGGATTGTATACATACATGTCATAATTCTACTATTGTCTCAGGACCCTGGGATAGGAACTGTGAGATAATCATTCTTGTGTCCCCATCACCATGTCACTACCACCTAACAATTAGCACTAGGCCTTGTGTATAGCAGTGATTTAGTAAGTATCTCATGAATTGAGGATGGCTTTATAGGATTTTCTCTTTAGTATGTTGTCATGTTTTCTTTATGCCTGAATTTGTAATAGTCTTAAAGCAAAAGAAAAAGCATTTCAGTTTTGAGGGAGTCACATATATCAATGATATTTTAAAAATGCCATTTCTTCTTTTTATGCCTTTTCCTTTAGTAGTACCCTATTTCCTAGAAACTAGGTATTTACTTCAGGTGACTCCTTTTCTTCTCTTAGCTGTAACTTGACAACTGAGAATAAAACTAAGAAAGGATTTTGAAGCCAGTGCAACAAATACGAATTTGCTAATTGTGTATTAACCAAATACAATTGCAAAGGGTTATTAAATCTCATTGCAACACTGTATTTTAAATGTCAGAAATCCACGTCAGTAGCTGAAGGCATACGGTTTTATGTCAGATTTTAAAGTAAGAAAGATATTGTGTGTTTTTGTGAGCATAGATGTGGTTTAGTCTCTATTATCCCTTTTTTTCTTTGTGGCCCTGCAATCAGAAATGTGAATATGAGTATGTTGATATGTTTGGGAAATGAGAACCATAAATGAATCTGACCATTTTATAAGATGTTTTGTATTAGACTGCAAAATTATTCCAGTTGCAAACATATTTACTGGTCACTCCCACAACCTTTTAATTTCCCTTTTCTTCCGTTTCTCCTAAGATCAGACAGTGTGACCTGTTTATTTTTGTTTTTCCCTAAATGTTAAGATCACTAGGTAGAGCCCAAAGAGAAAGGAACTCCTAATACCCTCATGGGAAATTTTGGAATAACATGTGGATAAGTACAGGGCATTTTTGTGGTAGCCAAACAGATGACACCTGTTTGGCATCACCTGATCTCTGATTGGCAACCCTTAGTTTATAGTAATGCCTCCAAGTCTAAATATTTAGAATTTATCTGCAAGTACACATTGTAGCACAGTTTAACAACTGCAGCACAATAAAAAAGATTATATTTACTTTCAAAAGTCATTGAAATGTTTTTTGTTAACATTTCACTTCTGAGTAGTGTCTAATACGTAGTAATATCTTTGTCGACAAGCTGTGAATTTCCCTATTACTCTTCTAGGAAGAATAGGTTCTGTATGGTTAGTTGATTTGTTCTTGTCTGAAACATCTTCATTTAGTAGCAGTGAAATTGTGATTTAAAACTAATGGAGTTGGGAGGCTGAGGCAGGTGGATCACTTGAGACCAGGAGTTCTAGGCCAGCCTGGCCAACATGGTGAGACTCCCCCTCTCTACTAATAATACAAAAATTAGCTGGACGTGGTGGCATGCATCTGTAGTCCCAGCTACTCAGGAGGATGAAGCTGGAGAATGGCTCGAACCTGGGAAGCAGAGGTTGCAGTGAGCAGAGATTGTGCCAGTGCACTCCAGCATGGGCAACAGAGCAAGACTCTGTCTCAAAAAAAAAAAAAAAAAGAAACTAATGGAGGTGTGGGTGGCCATGTATTGATAATTTTTGAAATATGTTTCTCTGTATTCTTCATATTTGAAATTTTCCATAAATACAATAAGTAAAAATAATAGAAGTGCAGAGAAACACTTGCTACTTTTTAGTTGAAACTATACATGGAAACAGGTAAAGGCACAGGTTCTGCATTCCAGTATGCCTCCTGTGTTAGCAACAGCCAAGAAACACTGCTTTACAACAGGCTGAGTAGGAGACAGTTACTCAGGCTGACTAATACAGTATCCAGTGCTTACTTTAATAAGAAAAATCAGACGTGAGCCTTAATGTTAGGGCATCAGCAACAATTGCATTCTGTAGATAGTTAATTTAGACACAACCCAATTCCTACTACATCTGAAAAATAAGATCAATGTCAATTTTCATAGACTAAAATTTGTTCAAGTTTTAAAAAAAGTTACACCAGCAATGCCAGGTTTTTCATATATTTTTCCTAAATGACATTCAGAATTTTTACTCATATCCCTGTGGAAATCATAGTCTGCCAACTCTCTTAAATGCCTATTTTTATTTTCCTTTACATAATACTAAGGAGTTGTCAAATATCTTTCAGAAAAACAAAATGAAAAGGATTTATATGATATATATGTCATGAGTCTAAGACTTTGTATAGACATTTAATTATCTAGATCGCTTATTTTCCTGTGTATTGTACCATTATTTTTTTTCTTTTATTCTTTCCCCAGTATGCAACATTTTAGGTTGTTCACAATTCATCGTAATCAATTTGCCATGCCCATCAATCTTCTTTTTCTCTCGTTTCTTAGCCAATTTACAAGTCCAGATTAGCCACATATGTTGAGTGTGTGGATCTCCAAAATTATAAACTACAAATGGCATAAGTTTGAGGGATTCAAATAACTGTCCAAACTCTACCCTCAACTGCACTCAACAAAAATGAAAAAGAAAAGACTCCCTTTCTTCAGGCTCTAAAAGCATTTTCATAGAAAGCAGACTTAAAGTTGTCCTGCCACTTCTTTTTACCTGTGTGGGCTTTTCAAGACCTAAATTCTCCAGGCCTCATCACCTTTCTCTTTCATTTTTTTTTTTTTTTTTTTTTGACGGAGTTTCACTCATGTTGCCCAGGCTGGAGTGCAATGGCGTGATCTCGGCTCACCGCAACCTCCGCCTCCTGGGTTCAGGCAATTCTCCTGCCTCAGCCTCCTGAGTAGCTGGGATTACAGGCACGCACCACCATGCCCAGCTCATTTTTTGTATTTTTAGTAGAGACGGGGTTTCACCATGTTGACCAGGATGGTCTCGATCTCTTGACCTCGTGACCTCGTGATCCACCCGCCTCGGCCTCCCAAAGTGCTGGGATTACAGGCTTGAGCCACCGCGCCCGGCCACATTTTTTTTAAGAAAAACTATTTGGCATAGGGAAATCCATTTTTTGGACTGGATATATAATAAATACGTGGGAGAATAAGGTATGCCTAAATGTGACAAACCAGAATCAATATATATTTTGAATCTCACCTGCAATTTTGAAAGTCCTATTAATTTAAAAAAATGTAAATATCTTAATATGATAGCTTACTGTAAGTCTCCCTAGAGGAAATGAAAATGGGAATCTCAAGAAAACTAAAACTACCATACATCTTGGCTTCAGAGACGAAAACGGGGGAGAGTATTGGCTAGCTATCAACAGAAGGGTAAGGAAAAAAGAGTACAGAGAAAGAATAGACAAGGTCACAAAAACGGCAGAACTGTAAGGGCCAATACACATCCACTGCTTCAAGTTTTTCAGCCATGCTCCATTCTCTGAGATTTTTGGTAGTGCTTCAAGAGTGCTGGTCTCCAAAGTCCTCCTGACAAGCTCTAGGAATGCTTCTGCCTGAAGATCTTACCAATTTTTCTGGGTCCCATGATCTCCCTACATGATTGATCAACCTACTATTTCAACTCTTTCAAGCCTTTGCACAAATGTCAACTTCAGTGAGGCCTCTATTTAAAAACTGACACCCTACCAAGTCCTTTCCTCATTTCTAATTACCCACTGTGAATTTACAACAGCCTACTCCATAGCCCTAGCTTAGGTCCCTTTTGAACACTCTTCGCCCCGCACTTCTCCTTTAAATCTTGCGTGGAAGGGGCGGAGGTATGTTCCAGGCTCACTAAGAGGAGCGTTCCGTAGGCTCCGCCCACTACGTCTCAGTGGGCGTCCCAAAGAACCCTAGATATGGTCTCTTCCTAGTCCGTTCCGGAAATGCGACTGCGTACGGGCTCGCCACGTGATAGTGACGTCACGCGCCCGCGCCCTCTGGCCGGACGCCCAAGGCTTCCGCGAGATTTTCGGTGGGTGTACGGCTGCTTTACGCCACGGCGTTGCTGCGTTTGGGTTCTCTTCTGCAGGCTCTGTGCACCTGGTCACGATTCACCATGTACCACAATAGTAGCCAGAAGCGGCACTGGACTTTCTCCGGTGAAGAGCAGCTGGCAAGATTGCGGGCCGACGCCAACCGCAAATTCAGATGCAAAGCAGTTGCCAACGGGAAGGTGAGGTTCCCAACTGTTGCCCGTTTGTCCTGGTCTCTAAATTCTGAGCAGCTGCGGGAGCTCTTCTGGCTCCCAGGACAATCTCATTCCCTCATTTCTCTGCCTCTACGGCGCGGAATGCGCTTATCTATTAACACAGGCGAGCACCTTGCCAGTTCCATGGGTACAAAGACGAACAACGCCGTCCCTGTAGTCGAATGGCAGACAAGTCTTTGTAACGTGGCGAAGGAGAGACTAAGTAGTGTGCTAAGGTAGTGCCTGGCAAGAGCCGTTCACTTGTCAAACGGCGATGTCGGGGAATGTTTTTCTCAGTAGCTAATGCGGAGAAAATGGGGAAAGGACATTCTAGGCAGTCAGAGCTACCGTGCAGAGTGGGAGGGAGGTCAGAAATTACAGGACTGATGCGTGGACGTGTTTGTGGTCGTACATGGCCGAGGCTGAGTACCTGTGCAGTAATTGCTCGGGAGGGTAGGAAGAGAACTTGTAGGTGGAAGTGAGACGTTAAAATTTCTACTGAAAGGATGAGGAACCTTTGAAATACTTAAAATGGGAAACTAACCTTAGATTTCCGTTCTAGAAACAACCTCGTGGCGAATGGGTTGGATGAGGGAGGGAGACAGGAGACCGAGTACAAACCAATGGACTAAAGATGGTTTGGACTATGGCCCGCTAGCCAAGTCCCTTCTGTTACAGCTCTCGGACTAGTATAATCTTTCCTACGAGCTCCACTCCAGCAAGTGTTCAGTGCCTCCAGATTACTGATACGGAATAATTTTGTTTTCTACTTTTAATGCACATCTATTTCGAATCACTGATTTTAGCACCTGAATTAGTTTCGTAAGGACTGCCTTAAAAAAAAAAAATCACCGCAAACTGGGTAGCTTAAAATAACAGAAATTTATTGAAACATTTGCCTTTTTTTTTTTCCCCCTCGACTTGTGTGACATAATGACTTACCGAGAAACAGATGTTGGAAACTTTCCAATCTTTTTATTTAAGTGTATCTACTTTTTAATTTATAAATAATGACATCACAACTGTGAGCATATGCACAAGTCTGTCATGATTGTTTATACCTTAATGAAGCAGAGGTCTAGCTGACATTCCGAAAAGTTGCGAAATGATGGTACAGTTTTAGTTTATTAAATATTTTTCTAAAGCTATTTTGTGTAATGATAGGGGAATCTATAAAGAGAAAATGAGGAGTGATATATTTCCCTTCGTTGGAGATATAAACTAAATTTAATCTGGATAGAGAAAAATGTTTTACAGTTGTTTAATTCACTGAACTTGTGTTGTAATTGTTGACCTAAAGGTTCTTCCGAATGATCCAGTCTTTCTTGAGCCTCATGAAGAAATGACACTCTGCAAATACTATGAGAAAAGGTTACTGGAATTCTGTTCAGTGTTTAAGCCAGCAATGCCAAGGTCTGTTGTGGTAAGTTACAGTAGTGATGAAATATAATGTCCTTTAGTTGGCTTGTGAAATCTGACCTCTTCTAAATTTGTAGCTAAGTTCCCAGTCCACTCTGGTTTTAAAAATCACCTGTTACATTTAATTCGTTTTTGACACGTTATATATTTTTCAATACAGGCCGTAAATCATGAATTGCTGTATCATCTCTTCCAAAGTATTTCAAATCTTATTTTGTAGTTAAAAAAAAAAAAAAATTTTTTTTGAGGCCAGGTAATGTTATAAAGAAAATTAAAATTAATTTACTTTCCTCTTTTCAACTAGTGAGCCTTAGAACCAGAACTAGAACATAGACTACTGCTTTTCCAACTCTGTGACACCCAGTAGATTTTTGAAATAATGCATTCATTCATCATTTGTAATCATATGCTCCAGCTGAAACTGATGCCGTAAGGTTTTTTTAAACTTTGATTAGTAGAAGCTGGAGTTTTATCTTTGGTTAAAAAGATTGTCTTATTGTTTCAGATGTATGATTCTGAGGACCTGTGTGGTTTTTTTGTTTGTTTGTTTATTTTTTTGCTGGGGTGCACAACAGTGAGGAGAAACAGGTAGCTGAGATTAAAAAGCTGAAAGATAAAAAAAAGCTGAAATGGGAAGGTGTTTAAAATGTTTTTACGTTATTTTGTCAGGTTTGTTGTGAAGACTAAATGTAAAAGTCTGTCTTAAAGTAGAAGTCTGTTAAGTTTTAAAGTTATACAGTGTGATTGGCTTATGACCCAGTAGAGAATAACCTTCTAGGAAATTATCTCCATTTTTATTGTTGGAAAAAAAATTGAAGTATGTGGAAAATATTAAGTCATAGAATTTTTTTTTTCATATGAAATATCAAAGATTCAGAGAGTGTTAGTTATACTCAGTTTCTATCTTCAGATTTGGCTTATTCTTACAAAAGAATTGTAAAATGAGGCAGTAAATTTAAGTGATTTTATCAAATGAAACAATCATTTAATGAATTTCTTTATGGAATTTATCTTTAAATAACATGCTTATGATTGGTGAGTAATTTTTTGTTTTAAATAATGACAAAACTAACCTTTTAAAATATTTAAAAGGAAATATTGTTTCTATCATAAAATAGGTAAGTGGTTATTTTATAGGTTCCAGCCAAGTGATATAATGGTTAAAAGTACAGGCAGGTCTTAACTTGACTTCATTCCTGTTCCTTATTAGCTGTGTGACCTAGATAAGTCAGTTAACCTTATTGATACTCAGTTTCCTTCTCTGTAGAGATAGTAATACTTCACAAAGCTGTTGTAGAGATTAAAACATGATGATAGTTTAGAGTCTGGCACATGGGATGCATTCAGTAAATAGTAGTGCTGCTTCTGCTGTTCATTTAGCAGCAGTGATCACAAATCATGGAGTGGACATATGGTTATGTAAAAAATATGGAGTGACTTTAGAGAGAAGGCTTATTGTATGGAGTGACTTTAGAGAGAAGGCTTATTACCTTACCCATGTATTTTTGTTAATATTTTTATAAGATTGGTTAATCTCTGAACATTTGTATTTTTCTCCTTGAATTTATCTAATTCAGGGCATTTTTGATACTCCGAATTCTGAAACACACACACCTATTTTTAAATCCAGTGACCATAGGAAGGATTAGCCAGAGTAGTCTGGGGATAGACAACCAAAGGATGGGAAAAGGGTCTTTTGGCTATGGCATTTCTGTAGTAATTCATCACAATTTATTTTGATTAAAGAAGAATTAATGAGTATTAGCATTTTTATGGGTAATCTCTACAAAGAAACCTTTCCATAAGTAAATTCTGTTTCACAAAATTTAACATGTAACATTTGTGAATACTGATGATTTTTTTTGAACCCTTAGGGTACAGCTTGTATGTATTTCAAGCGTTTTTATCTTAATAATTCAGTAATGGAATATCACCCCAGGATAATAATGTGAGTATGTCTGTCTAATTTATTGTTTTCATTTAAGCAGACCTTTATACTCTTTGAGTATTTGTGAAGGAGGGAGTTGTGCGAGAGAACTGACTTCCTAATCTAGGCCATTTAGACTTGAATTTTATTTTATTTTATTTTATTTTATTTTTTAAATTCAGAACTTAAGATCTCTATTTACCTATACTTTGGTGATACTGATGGCACCTGAACTTCAAGTTGTCCAGATTCAAATTTTGTTTTTCTCAGTTAGGTACTTCTCTAATATCTCTCCCTGTTAGACGCCTAAGTATTTCCAGTTGTTTACACTGAGAATCATTTGTAGTGGCCCCTCTCCTTCCACATGCAATTGGTGTTTGGATCCTATAGCTTCATATTCATTTCAGTTGAACAAAGGTCTCTTGTTTCTGCTCTCTGCTGAGCACTGTGTCTATCATTAAAGATGAGATTAGTATGAGACTCATCAAAGAGCTTGTTCTCAATGACAATGTACCTGTTTTCTCTTTTCGATTCCCATTTCCTCCAGTTAAGATTAGGCCATTGATCTCACTTCCAACCTTGATTTTTGCAGTAGCTTTCTTAACTAGTTTCTTATACTGAACAGCATGAAGTGGCCAGGTAAATTTCACACATTTGTCCCTGAAATAGTAATTCCTTATTCAGATGCCCTCAGAGACTTCCACGGATGGGCTTCCACAGAGCTCCTTAAACCTACTTTTCTTCCCATGCTTATATGGTGTATATGTGGGTACTGCTTTATTTTTAACTCTTCATGTATATGACGCAAAGTACTTTTATTCCTCAGTAAATTTGTTTTTTCAGATATTTAAGTTGTCCTGCATGACACTGTCATTGAGTGAATGATGGTTGAATGCAATGGCAATATTAGTTGGTTGGACCTGATTTTATAGTTTGCCTTATGTCTCCTAATGGATGAAAGTGTGAACAAGAGCTGTCTTTAAAAATAATATTCCTGCAATGTCTACCAGTCACTTTTGAATATCAGACAATTATAGAATATACTTTTAGAAATAAATTAGGTATTTCTCAAAGTATATGCATGTTCTTCTACCTCCCACCCCTACACCTCTTTATTTTTTCCTCTAGGCTCACTTGTGCATTTTTGGCCTGCAAAGTAGATGAATTCAATGTATCAAGTCCTCAGTTTGTTGGAAACCTTCGGGAGAGTCCTCTTGGACAGGAGAAGGCACTTGAACAGATACTAGAATATGAACTACTACTTATACAGCAACTTAATTTCCACCTTATTGTCCACAATCCTTACCGACCATTTGAAGGCTTCCTCATTGACTTAAAGGTAAACTTGATGTAAAATAAACTAACACTACATCTCCTTTCCTATTCTTTAACCAAGAGAATCCAGAATTTTAAAATCCTTAATTGTTACAGCATGGATACAACCTGTGGCTCTGACCTGGTCATCGAGGGCAGTTGTTTACAAACTTCTGTGGGCATGAACAGTCATCTGGAGAAATTTTTAACTCAGATTATTGGGTGGGACTTACAGAGTTTCTGATTTAAGTGATCTGCAATTCTGCTCCAGGGATGTAATGAAGACCATGAGAATTTAGAACAGTGCCTATAAAGGTTTGAGATAACTCTTCTGACTTTGAATTATATTGTCATGGATATCGGCATGATTTAAAGAACCATAAAAAATTCTTAACCTTAAACTAGAAGATTGCTAAGTGACTTCTATTTTTAGAGGTTTGTGAACTTGAGTCACTATGTAGGCAGCAATAATATGTGTAAACAAACATTGACAAAAGCAACTTTTAGATTGTTTTGTTTGGCTCTGAAAGAGAAGTTGGATAGTCTAAGTCAAATCAAACAAATCAGAAACTGGTTTATTCATATTAGTTCAGTGGCTCAATTTGGGTACATTTTATGTGCCAGACCTTGTGCTTGAGGATGTAACCGGAAACAGGAGAGGAACAGTCTTTTGGGAACCTTGCAATCTAAAGGTTTTAGATAATCATATCCAGTGTGCTAGGTGATACAGAGGGGAAGATATATTTTAGAAGGAGATAACAGATTAAGGGGTAAGGAAAATATTCTGAGAATGTATCATTTAAAATAAAGTTCAGAGTAGGAATAGGTGAGATAAGAACATCCCAATCACGACTTTCCTGGTCAAAAACTCAAATTCAGGAAACCATTCTGTGCTAAAGAACCTGGACAGAGCCTAGCAATCAATGCAAGGGGAAGAGTATCACAGACAGCAACTACCAGAGTGGAAGGCAGAGTCTAGAATGTGGAGACAATGATACGAATTTCCAGTATAGCAAAGAGAAGCCAGTGAAAGGTTTAAATTTAGGGTGGCATAATTAGATTTTCAGCTTTAAAAGATCATGTTGGCAACCTTATGCATCAGGCTGCATCAGGTATTTATTGCACATCTGTTGTGTCGGGCATACGTGGAGAAAGGATTTGAATAAATTAAGGGAATAATAGGATATTGTTAAAGGAGTCCAGGCAAAAGATGATGGTGAGCTTCACTCATATGAAGTTTGTGAACTCTGGGCTTGAGATACAGGATGAATATCCCTTATCTGAAAAACTCGAGACCAAAAGTATTTGGGATTTCACACACACACACACACACACACACACACACACACACACACTCTCATATATTTTATTGCACTTTAGGTTCTGGGGTGCATGTGCAGAACATGCAGGATTGTTGCATAGGTACATACATGGCAGTGTGGTTTGCTGTCTCCATCCCCCGGTCACCTGTATCTGGCATTTCTCCGCATGTTATCCCTCCCCATCCTCCCTACCCCTCTCTGTCCCTCCCTTATTCCCCCTACAACAGACCCCATTGTGTGATACTCCCTTCCCTGTGTCCATGTGTTCTCATTGTTCAACACCCACCTATGAGTTAGAACATTCAGTGTTTGATTTTCTGTTCTCGTGTCAGTTTGCTGAGAATGATGGTTTCCAGATTCACCCATGTCCCTACAAAGGACATGAACTCATCATTTTTTATGGCTGCATAGTATTCCATGATATATATGTGCCACATTTTCCTTGTCCAGTCTATCATCAATGGGCATTTGGGTTGGTTCCAAGTCTTTGCTACTGTAAACAGTGCTGCAATGAACATACGTGTGCATGTGAGTTTATAATAGTACGATTTATAATCCTTTGGATATATACCCAGTAATGGCATTTCTGGGTCACATGGAATTTCTATTTCTAGGTCCTTGAGGAATCACCACACTGTCTTCCACAATGGTTGAACTAATTTACACTCCCACCAACAATGTAAAAATGTTCCTGTTTCTCCACATCCTCTCCAGCATATGTTGTCCCCAGATTTTTTGATGATCGCCATTATAACTGACATGACATGGTATAACAGTGTAGTTTTGATTTGCATTTCTCTAGTGACCAGTGATGATGAGCATTTTTTCATATGTTTGTTGGCATCATATGTGTCTTTTGAAAAGTGTTTGTTCATGTCCTTCACCCACTTTTGAATGGGTTTTTTTTTTTTTTTCTTGTAAATCTGTTTTAATTCTTTGTAGATTCTGGATATTAGCCCTTTGTCAGATGGGTAGATTGCAAAAAATTTTTCTCATTCTGTTGGTTGCCGGTTCACTCTAATGATTCTTTTGCTGTACAGAAGCTCTGGACTTTAATTAGATCCCATTTGTCTATTTTGGCTTTGTTGCCAATGCTTTTGGTGTTTTAGTCATGAAGTCCTTGCCTGTGCCTATGTCGTGAATGGTATTGCCTAGGTTTTCTTCTGGGGTTTCTATGGTGTTAGGTCTTATGTTTAAGTCTTTAATCCATCTGGAGTTAATTTTAGTGTAAGGTGTCAGAAAGGAGTCCAGTTTCTGCTTTCTGCACATGGCTAGCCAGTTTTCCCAATACCATTTATTAATCAGGGAATCCTTTCCCCATTGCTTGTTTTTGTCATGTTTGTCAAAGATCAGGTGATTGTAGCTGTGTGGCACTGCCTTTGAGGCCTCTGTTCTGGTCCATTGGTCTCTATCTCTGTTTTGGTACCAATACCATGCTGTTTTGATTACTGTAGCCTTGTGGTATAGTTTGAAATCAGGTACTATGATGTCTCCAGCTTTGTTCTTTTTGCTTAGGATTGTCTTGGCTATGTGGGCTCTCTTTTGGTTCCATAAGAAGTTTAAGGTGGTTTTTTTCCAGTTCTGTGAAGAGGGTCATAGGTAGCTTGATGAGGATTGTGTTGAATCTGTAAATTACTTTGGGCAATATGGCCATTTTCACAATAATGATTCTTCCCAACCATGAGCATGGAATGTTTTTCCATCTGTTTGTGTCCTCTGTTATTTCATTGAGCAGTGGTTTGTAGTTCTCCTTGGAGAGGTCATTTACATCCTTTGTTAGTTGTATTCCTAGGTATTTTATTCTCTTTGTAGCAATTGTGAATGGGAGTTTGCTCATGATTTGGCTCTCTGTTAATCTGTTATTGGTGTATAGGAATGCTTGTGATTTCTGCACATTTTATATCCTGAGACTTTGCTGAAGTTGCTTATCAGTTTAAGGAGATTTTGGGCTGAGATGATTGGGTCTTCTAAATATGCAATCATGTTGTCTGCAAATAGAGACAGTTTGATTACCTTCTTTCCTAATTGAATGCCGTTTATTTCTTTTTCATGCCTGATTGCTCTGGCTAGAACTTCCAATACTATATTGAATAGGAGTGGTGAGAGAGGGCATCCTTATCTAGTGCCAGATTTCAAAGGGAATGCTTCCAGTTTTTGCCCATTCAGTATGATATGGGCTGTGGGTTTATTATAAATAGCTTTTATTATTTTGAGATACATTCCATCGCTACGTAATTTATTGAGAGTTTTTAGCATGAAGGGCTGTTGAATTTTGCTGAAGGCCTTCTCTGCATCTATTGAAATAATCGTGGTTTTTGTCTTTGGTTCTGTTTATGTGGTGGATTACGTTTGTAGACTTGCGTATATTGAACCAGCCTTGCATCCCCGGGATGAAGCCTACTTGACCATGATGGATAAGCTTTTTGATGTGCTGTTGCAATCGATTTGCCATTATTTTATTTAAGATTTTTGCTCTGTGTTCATCATGGATATTGGCCTAAAGTTTTCTTTTTTTGTTGAGTCTCTGCTGGGTTTTGGTATCAGGATGATTTTGGTCTCATAAAATGATTTGGGAAGGATTCCCTCTTTTTGTATTGTTTGGAATAGTTTTAGAAGGAGTGGTACCAGCTCCTCTTTGTATGTCTGGTAGAATTCGGCTATGAACCCATCTTGACCTGTGCTTTTTTTTGGTTGGTAGGCTATTAATTGCTGCCTCAACTTTAGCCCTTGTTATTGGTCTGTTCAGGGTTTCAGCTTCTTCCTGATTTAGGCTTGGGAGGATACAAGTGTCCAGGAATTTATCCATTTTCCAGGTTTACTGGTTTATGTACATAGAGTTGTTTGTAGTAATCTCTGATGGTAGTTTGTATTTCTGTGGAATCTGTGGTGATATCCCCTTTATTGTTTCTTATTGCATCTATTTGATTCATCTTTCTTTTTTATTAATCTGGCTAACAGTCTGTTTTGAACTTTTCAAAAAACCAGCTCTTGAATTTATTGATTTTTTTTTGAAGGGTTTTTTGTGTCTCTATCTCCTTCAGTTCTGCTCTGATCTTAGTTATTTCTTGTTTTCTGCTAGCTTTTGAGTTTTTTTTTTTATCTTGTTCCTCTAGCCCTTTCAATTTTGATGATAGGGTTTCAATTTCAGATCTTTCCTTTCTTCTCATATGGGCATTTATTGCTATAAATTTCCCTCTAGACACTGCTTTAAATGTGTCCTAGAGATTCTGGTATGTTGCGTCTTCGTTCTCATTGCTTTCAAAGAACATCTTTATTCCTGCCCTCATTTTGTTGTTTATCCAGTCAACATTCAAGAGCCAGTTGTTCAGTTTCCATGAAGTTACGCGGTTCTGAGTTAGTTTCTTAATCCTCAGTTCTAATTTGATTGCACTGTGGTCTGAGAGACTGTTATGATTTCCGTTTTACGTTTACTGAGGAGTGATTTACTTCCAATTATGTCATCAGTTTCAGAGTAGGTGTGATGTGGTGCTGAGAATAATGCATACTCTGTGGATTTAGGGTGGAGATTTCTGTAGATGTCTATTCAGTTTGCTTGGTCCGGATCTCAGTTCAAGTCCTGGATATCTTTGTTAATTTTCTGTCATGTTGGTCTGTCTAATATTGACAGTGGAGTGTTAAAGTCTCCCACTATTATTGTATGAGAGTCTAAGTCTCTTTGTAAGTCATTAAAAACTTGCTTTATGTATCGGACTGCTCCTGTATTGAGTGCATGTGTATTTAGGATAGTTAGCTCTTCTTGTTGCATTGATCCTTTTACCATTATGTAATTCCCTTCTTTGTCTCTTTTGATTTTTGTTATGTTAAAGTCTGTTTTATCAGAGACTAGGTTTGCAGCTCCTGCTTTTTTTTTCTCTCCATTTGCTTAGTAAATCTTCCTACATCCCTTTATTTTGAGTCTGTGTGTATCCTTACACTTGAGATGGGTTTCCTGGAGAGAGCACATCAATGGGTTTTGACTTTTTATCCAATTTGCCAGTCTGTGCCTTTTTATAGGGGCATTTGGTCGGTTTACATTTAAGGTTAATATTATTATGTGCGAATTTGATCCTGCCGTTTTGATGCTAGCTGGATGTTTTGTCCATTAATTGATGCAGTTTCTTCATTCTGTCAGTGGTCTTTACCATTTGGTATGTTTTTGGAGTGGCTGGTTCTGGTTGTACCTTTCTATGTTTAGTGCTGCTTTCAGGAACTCTTGTAAGGCAGGTCTGGTGGTGACAAAATCTCTCAGCAATTGCTTGTTTGTAAAAGATTTTATTTCTCTTTTGTTTATGAAGCTTAGCTTGGCTGGATAGGAAATTCTAGGTTGGAAGTTCTTTTCTTTAAGGACATTGAATATTGGCCCGCACGCTCTCCTGCCTTATAAGGTTTCTGTGGAGAAATCCTCTGAGTCTGATAAGACTTCAAGACACAAAGGCTTCCCTTTGTGTGTAACCCGACCTTTCTCTCTGGTTGCCCTTAGCATTTTTTCCTTTATTTCAACCCTGGTGAATCTGATGATTATGTGCCTTGGGTTTGCTCTTCTTGAGGAATATCTTTGTGGTATTGTCTGTATTTCCTGTACTTGAATGGTGGCCTGCCTTGCTAGGTTGGGGAAGTTCTCCTGGATAATATCCTGAAGAGTTTTCCTTGGATTCATTGTCTCTGTCACATTCAGATACACCTATCACACCTATCAAAGGTAGATTAGGTCTTTTCACATAATCCCATATTTCTTAGAGGCTTCATTCATTTATTTTTACTCTTTTTTCTCTAATCTTGCCTTCTCTTTTTATTTCACTGAGTTGATCTTCAATCTCTGATATCCTTTCTTCTGCTTGGTCAGTTTAGCTATTGAAATTTGTGTATGCAGGCCGGGCGCGGTGGCTCAAGCCTGTAATCCCAGCACTTTGGGAGGCCGAGGCGGGTGGATCACGAGGTCAAGAGATCGAGACCATCCTGGTCAACATGGTGAAACCTCGTCTCTACTAAAACTGCAAAAAATTAGCTGGGCATGGTGGCGTGTGCCTGTAATCCCAGCTACTCAGGAGGCTGAGGCAGAAGAATTGCCTGAACCCAGGAGGCGGAGGTTGCGGTGAGCCGAGATCGCGCCATTGCACTCCAGCCTGGGTAACATGGGTGAAACTCCGTCTCAAAAAAAAAAAAAAAAAAAAAAAAAAAGAAATTTGTGTATGCTTCATGAAGTTCTGCTGTTGCGTTTTTCAGCTCCATCAATTCATTTATATTCTTCTCTAAGCTGTTTATTTTCATTAGCATTTTGTCAAACCTTTTTTCAACGTTCTTAGTTTCATTTCATTGGATTAGAACTTGTTCTTTTAGCTCAGAGAAAGTTTTTTATTACCCACCTTCTGAAGCCTGTTTCTGTCAATTCATCAGACTTTTTCTCCATCCAGCTTTCTTCCCTTGCTGGTGAGGATTGTGATCCCTTGAAGGAGGAGAAGTATTCTGATTTTGGGTGTTTTCCTCCTTTTTGCGCTGGTTTCTTGCCATCTTCGTGGATTTTCCTACCTGTGGTCTTTGTAGTTGGTGACTTTCGGATGGTGTCTCTGACATCTTCTTTTTTGATGTTGAAGTTATTTCTTTCTGTTTTTTAGTTTTCCTTCTAACAGGCCTCTCTGCTGTAGGACTGCTAGAGGTCCAATGCAGACCCTGCTTGCCTGGGGATCACCTGCAGCAGCTGCAGAACAGTAAGGGTTGCTGCCAGTTTCTTCTTCTGTTATCTTTGTCACCAAAGGATACCCACCAGATGTCAGCCTGAGCTCTCCTTTATGAGGTGTCTCTTTGGATATACAGGGGTTGGGGAGCTGCTTGAGGAGACAGTCTGTCTCTTACAGGAGCTCAAGTGCTGAGCTGTGAGCTCCGTTGGTTCGTTCAGAGCTGCTGAGCAGGTACGTTCAAGTCTGCTGCAGCACAACTCATAACCACCTTTTTTCCCAGGTGCTCTGTCCTGGGAAGGCAGGGCTTTATTGACAAATTCCTGAGGTGCTGCTGCCTTTTTTCAGAGATGCCTTGCGTAGCAAGGAGGTAGCCAGTCACAGTCTGTCAGCAGAGGCATTGCTGAGCTTTAATGGGCTCTGCCCAGCTGCTGTGTGAACTTCCTTAGGGTTTTGTTTACAGATGTATAGTTAGAATTGCCTTGGTAATGGCAGCCTGCCTCAGTAAGGTGGACTGCCTCTGAATGGTGGACTGCCTCGGTAATCGTGGACTGACTGGTAGTGGTGGACTGCCTGGGTAATGGTGGATGCCCTTCCCCCCTCCCCAGGGAGCTGGACCATCCTGGGTCCAACTGCCCTTGCTGTGACCTCTCAATCCAAAGCATTTCAGATTGCTGGTCTTTGTCGGGGTGGGACCCTGCTGAATCAGTTCATCTGGCTCCCTGTTTCAACCCCTTTTTTTCAGTTGAATGGGTGGCTCTGTCTCCCAGGCATTCCAGCCGCCGGTAGAAACGGCCACCCAGATTTGTGTGAGTTTTTGTGCAGAGACCAGCTGCGCCAGCTGAAACAGCTGTGCTGGTAACTCATGGCGTTTTTCAGCCTGGGTATCTTCTGGTCTGTGGGCAGTAATAACTCGTTTGGAAATGCTGTGATCACTCACCCTCTGCATCGTTCTCGTTGGGAACTGCACTCTAGAGGTGTCTGTCTTAGTTCCTCCCGACGTGAGTTCCGCCTGGCTAATTTTTTTGTAGAGATGGGCTTCTGCCATGTTGCCCAGGCTTGTCTCACTTTTTTTTTGTTTTTTGGCAATATTTGCGTTGTACTACTGGTTGAGCATTACGAATCCAAAATCTGAAATGCTCCAGTGAGAATTTCCTGAGTGTCAGTGCTCAGAAAGTTTTAGATTTTGGATCATTTCAGATTTTGAATCTTTTGGATTTGTGATGCTCAGCCTGTAGTTAGGTAAAATCAATAAAACTTGAGGATTGACTGTTTATAGAGACGAGGACAGAGGAAGAACTCCCAGGTTTCTGGCTGGGTGAGAGTTTTTTTGTTGTGCTTTGTTTTATAGAAAAGACTGATGCAAATTTAAACACTGATGCAAAGAGCTAGTAGTGAGAGAAAGATGAAATACAAAATAGTCTCTTTGGAGTAAGGTGGAAGGGGTTGGCATGGGATTTCGAAGCAAGGTAGAAGAACTGGGCTTAGAGGGAATAATGGCTCTTTCTTTTAATAGTGGAAAAGGGGAAATTAAGGGTTAGGATACTGTTATGCCCCAGGATTTGGTGTTGGCAGGAAATAGCACCTTTCTTTGGTAAGAGATAGTTTTCTGAGAGTGATGGAGTTTCTGAGCATTATCAAGGAGATCGTTTAAGACAGATGGAAAATATTTATGTAGTCACTGAAAAATGGGAGAGTAAATTTGCTGTGGAAATACTGTGGTTGCTCGGCGGTGTTTAAGAGCCTTGTTGAGGTCAATGAACATGAGTTTATAATAATATTACCAGACCTCTGGTTGTATGGTTTTCTCTGGCAGTACTCAGAAATCTTTGTGTAATTGCAAAGTGAAGGTTTGTTGGATTCAACCACTGTTAAATTTCTGGTTTTGCCAGAAATGTGTTGGCAGCATATTGGGGCAGGGAATTCGGGAGAGAAGTGAGGACCAGATGAAACTGGTAAGTGGGAGCTAGTCGAGGGATAAGTAACCAAAGGTTCTGAGGAGGGAGAACAGCTGTGAAGTAAATGAGTCAATGTATTTTAAAAAGAGGCATTGTGATCAGAGTAGTGTGTCTGAATTTCTCATATCACAGGTGAGGCATTTTTGCACAGTTGACTCGAGTACTTTGTTTCAGAGTGTAGAAAAGCTTTCTTAGCGCTTTAAGTGTTGAATATTCCTATCTGGGGCTTAGGATTTATGGTTTATTTCATAGGGTATAAAGAACTGTCAGGAAATATGAGGTCTTCCATAGCTGTTGGGCATATTCTAAAACTTTTTCTGTGAGAATTTGAAGTCTAATGTATTCTAATCAAATCGAGATTCATTTTTATTTACGTCTTCCTGAAAGTAAATTTTAAGTAGAGCAATTTATATAAAAATAAGGTTTGTTCCCAAATGTTGCCTTACATTTGAATCACATGGGTTGCTTGAGAGACATATTTACCTGGGAATATGTATTTCTTGGCTCTACTTTAGACTCAATGGAATCTTTTAAGAGTTTCCCTTTCCTTCCCTTCCTATTCAGGTGGAAAATGACCAAGAGAAGAGATTAATGTAAATTGAGGACAATGTCAATAACTTCAGATATGTTATTTTAAAGCACATATTTCTTAATATGAGTTGTGTAATTTTAAACTCTTGTTACTCCATTTAAACCCTCAGAAATGGTAACATTTGCAAACTTTTTTTCTAGACCAGATATCCCATGTTGGAGAATCCAGAGATTTTGAGGAAAACAGCTGATGACTTTCTTAATAGAATTGCATTGACGGATGCTTACCTTTTATACACACCTTCCCAAATTGCCCTGACTGCCATTTTATCTAGTGCCTCCAGAGCTGGAATTACTATGGAAAGGTATTAATTAGTGTTTTAACTTAGGTCAAATTCAGTCACTGGGTTCATTTATTCATGGAGTCATTTGTGACTAGTCTGTAATATCCCTTGTGGCTGGGATGGTTGGTGAAAAGAAATGAAATTGCCTTATGGAAATCTTTAAACATTACGAAAAATATTGTTGAACTCAGAGGATACATTTAGGATTAAAGTAGAAGTAAACCAGGTGATCCTTGAGAGACTGATAAAGATATCAGTATATGACAAATTTAGAAGTTCCTCTGAACTGGTGAGCAACTTGAGTGCAGCAAATATGTCTGCCTTGTTTTATCTTCTGTAAAGCATGTATGACACATGGAATTAAATATTGTTCGCTAACTAACACAAACTAGCAGTCAGACTTTTTTAGTTTCTATATTGTTTCTCAATTTATGACCTTTGAAGTTCTGCTTGATTTTATTCCTAGAAATAGCTGAGGAAGAAAGATGATAAAATTTCCTAAAGTTAATTAAAATTATTTTACGTGACTATAATCCCTTATCCATAATTTCAGAATCCATTGATAAGGTGGCAGCAAATATTAACTGATTGTATTTAGTTTTTATTTTACTTAATAGGAATATTTGTGTTTCGTTGCAGAAATCTTAATATTCCTGATTATAGGATGCTATCCCAGACATCACTGGGTGTTTCACATTTCATAATATATACACCAGATAACTTTTCTAAGACATGAATAATTATTAAATGAGAATTTCACAACACATCTGCATCTAAGATAAGGGATTTTAGGTTTTTATTTTATGATATGCCTCTTCTCTGCAAACACAACTTACCAACTATATATAAATGTATACATTTAATCCCAAAGTGATTTCTATTTACTAAGCACAAATATTCACTGAATGCCTTATATACTACTATGCTCTGTACTATTCTTTAGAAATATGAAAATGAGTAAGATAAATCTCTAAGTTGGGAAAGATAGTCATGTAAATTATTGATGTATATGCAGTTAAGATGTGGACTTCCATTCATTTTGGGGGGAGTTGGTTATTTTTTTGAGACAGTGTTTCATTCTGTCACCAGGCTGGAGTGCAGTGGCACAGTCATAGCTCACTGCAGCCTCAACCTCCCAGGCTCAAGCGATCCTCCTGCCTCAGCTTTCTAAGTAGCTGGGACCACAGGCACACACCACTACACCCACCTAAACTTTTTGTTTTTTGTAGAGTTGGGATTTCCCTATGTTGCCCAGGCTCATCCCAGTCACTCCTAGGCTCAAGTATTCCTCCTGCCTAGGCCTCCCAACGTGCTGGAATTACAGGTGCACACCACCAACCTGGCCTGCAGACTTCATTCTGTAAGGGAACAAAGGCCTTCTTTTCCACAGCTCAAATAACCAAAAGTTTGATTAATCTTGAAGCATTGTATATACTGCATAAATAAATTCTTTAGTGATGAGATTGTAATTATGTAGAGTGGGATGAAGCATCCTTAAGTCCAGATGAGTTTATTGTGTCTTAGAAGTTTAGTTCATTATAATTCCAGATAGGTAAAATTGAAATTGTGATACCTTTGGCTCCGTGCAAATTTAATAGGCTTTTGTAACATTCCGGTGACTAGACATTTGGGGTTTTTTTTTGTTTTGTATTTTCTTTCACCCTTTAGGGAAATGCTTTCCAATCATTTTAAACTTACTGATACAGGCAAACTTTTGGCATATGTGGAAATTGAGTTTACATTTATTGCTGATTTCAGAAAGGGAAAGCCCTTGTGCTGTTGTCATAGTCTGGATAATGCCTCAGAATATTAATCGTAGGATTATTACTGTTATTTCTGAGTTATCTTCTCTTTCTTGTAGATTTAGAGCTTTATTTCTTATCTGCTGCTTTGACACTTTAGGTATTCTTACTTGCTTGTGGATTTTATTAAAACATCATAATATTAAAATTCAGATTTGAAATTGAGATTAAGAGTTGCTAGGCTGGGCACGGTGGCTCATGCCTGTAATCCCAGCACTTTGGAAGGCTGAGGTGGGCAGATCACCTGAGGTCAAGAGTTGAAGACCAGCCTGACCAACATGGGGAAACCACATCTCTACAAAAAAAAAAAAAAAAAATCAGCCGGGCATGATGACGTATGCCTGTAATCCTAGCTACTCTGGAGACTGAGGCAGGAGAATTGCTTGAGCCTGGGAGGCGGAGCTTGCGGTAAGCTGGGATCATGCCATTGCGTTCCAGCTTAGGCAACAAAAGTGAAGAAACTCCATCTCAAAAAAAAAAAAAAAAAAAGTTGCTAACTTCACAGAGATAAAGAGTCTAGTTAGCCAGCTCTTAGCACCAAACCTATGACCTTTATGCATAAGAAATCAAAAGAAAATGAAGAGTAAAAATAAAGGAAGATGACAGAAATGGGAGGAATTTTAAGTAGAAAGGGAAAGGAAAAAACTAATTTAGTTATTTTGAATTACTAAGTAACTGGAAATGGATTAGTTGTTAGGGGATTTCCTGATTTTCAGATCCAAAATTTATTTCCACAATAGATGATGATGGTGATGTAATAACAAAGTTATCAAAACTTGATAACAAAATGAAAATAATCTGGATAAAGACAGCAACAAGAGTTCTTGAAGTATTGCTTTCTATTTTTGTAACTATTACATCCAAGAGAAAAATAAGTTTTTTGCATTTGTGTTTGAAAAACTACTTAACACTTTGAGAATCTGTTCATTTGGGCTTTTATCAATTATCGGTCAAGTACAGTTATGCAAAACCTCAGAGTAATTAAAAATTTAAGTATAGAAATTATGTTTTTATACTGTCAGTGGCCCTGAGAAAAACAAGTAATTGAGTTTTATATCATATTGATAGAGTAACACCTTTGATTTGGACTTGATGCAAATAAGATGTAATAGATTTATAAAGCATTAGGTGATAGTCTTGTTGGTTTGAATGTCTGTTACTCCCAAGAAGTACAACTATAGGTAAAATGGCTTTCATATTAAGGGGACAGAAAATCCTTTCTAGTGCCAAATTCCAGTTTTGCTGCTTCCTAGCTTTATTACTTTGGGCAGGTTACAAGATCATGACTCGCCCATCCCTGTAACTGAGATTGCTCTTGTGTAAAATAAAGTTAGACTCATAGGATTTTTATATTAAAAGATATAAATTTTATAAGTATTGGCTATTACTGCTGCTTTCATACTGTTTTCCTTCTGAAAGTTTATACCTTAATATTGCTAAACTTAAATGAATAGTAAACATCTTTTAATGTAATTGGTAATAAATCCTTAAAACATAAGAGTTATGGATTATGTTCATAAATTTAAACATTTTAAAATCGCCATTGATGAGATGGAGGAAAATAATTTATGATGCCATGCTTTCGCAATGTGCTGTATGTTTTCAATAGATTAAATTTTCTTTCTTTTCTTTACCAGTTATTTATCAGAGAGTCTGATGCTGAGAGAGAACAGAACTTGCCTGTCACAGTTACTAGATATAATGAAAAGTAAGTAAAACAGAACATTCTACATAATGTTCTTCCATTACAAAGTTCCTTTCTAAATAAATATCTTGGTATTTAACTAGAAATATAACTTAGATTTTTGTTTAGATTTATTTTCATTGAGTTACTATATTATGGAAGCATGAAAGACACACTGGTCTAGAACAAATAGAAGGTACATGGAAGGAAGTAGTGTTCATGTATATAGAACTTATGCAATGAGTGAAAATATAAGTGGATTTAGAAAGGGTTTAGAGATTGACAACAGGATCCTTTTAAAGAATAAAGAAACACTAGTCACTAAAAAAGATGTAATGGGAACTAACTTAAGGATAATGTTTAAATTTGGAACTTCTATTTTGTAGATAAATCATTTTTTTAAAGAGAGAGTTAGAGGGAGATTTGACACACTCAGAAAAGGCACTGCAAAGACAACAGAGAAAGATTTAAAGATGCTCACCTTGAAAATTATGAGAGTGATGTGGCTACAAGCCAAATGAAGCTGGCAGCCACCGGAAGCTGGAACAGGCAAGGAATGGATTCATCCCTGGAGCCACCAAAGAGAATATGGCCCTTCCAGCACTTTAATTTTGACCCATTGAAACCGATTTCAGACTTCTGGGCTCTAGAACTATGAGTCAATACATTTCTGTTGTCTTAAGCCAACAAGTTTGTGATAATTTTAATAGCAACTTCAGGAAACTAATATAGCCCTGCATAACCAAGAACTATTCAACCCAAAAAGTCATTAGTGCTCGTGTTGAGAAATTCTGTCCTAAGGGTTGAATAGAATCTCATCTTATTGACTGAATTAGCCAGCATTCTCTATTCTTCATTCTTGCCCACGGCACACTTGTTCATGGCTGCTAAGCTCCTCTTTGGGGTTAAAGCTCAATCATGTTTGTTCCCATACCTTGCTGTCTAAATTGTTCTTAATTATATTTGTAATTTAATTAAATATTAAATAAACCAGTATAAAATTGAAGATCTTGATCTTGGATGACAGTAAATGGCTATACGTTTTATATATTTTGTGTTTTAAAAGTTAAGATGCTTGAGGGCATCTGTGTCATTTCTTGATTCTCTGCTCGAAGTGATCTTGAGAGCTTTCTTTGAGAATGATAGGCTTGTGATTTATGAATTATAAACTGTAGCTCTTTAGCTTTACCACTAGGGGGTTCACTTTCAAAGCTAATTGTGATTTGACTATAGATAATAGGAGCATAGAATTTAGTAGGTAAAGGGAGTCTTATTCCACTTTACTTATTTCATAGCTTAGTTTTATTACTGATTTCTTCTCAATATCTTTATTTTGCTCCACTTATTTTAAATGAAATAAAAATAGCTCTTCATAAAATACTTATAGGTTTAACACTACTAAGATATTTGTAATGTTTGGAAAAGATAGTGTCTTATGGGTGTTGAGTCACAAGTATTCAGTTGAAAATACTGCTTTGTTTGCATTATGAAATAGGTCAGTATAGTCATTTGGATCACATGGCTGGCAAATAATAATAATTATAAGCCCATTGGCTCTCCCCTCATTCCTCTAATACATTTTGAAATTTGTATTCTTTGGTTTATTATAGTTGAATATAAAGATCAGCTAGAGGATGCTTTTGCAATTATAAAGTTACTGATATAGTAGTTTGCTTTTAACCTTAAGTGGACATTTTTGTATAGGGTCTGTTTTTTGTTAAAGCAAAGGATTATTAACAAATTTTTACTAAGCATCCTCCCTTTATTGCATGTTGTGTAATAACAGTTTCTTTTGTAAATAGGAAATACATTCTTAGTCCACTATCTCTGGAATAGAATATTATGAAGATGGTTGGGGATAGAGAACAAAGCATGTTCACTAAATCATTTAGGGATTTTTTTTTTTTTTTTTTAAGTCTTAAACTGAACAAGAAGTGACCCCAGTAGGATTTGCGAAAAATTAATGCTAGATTACACAGTGTGCTTTATGCTGTACATGGTATGGGCTAAACAGCAGAGAGCCATAATTACTTGAATTAAACATATGGTGCTTATAGGATTTTAAAGTAGAATGATGCAAATCTTGAGAAGAATAACTGTGTCATTTGAAGAGTGTTTTGTTGAAAAATAACAAGCTCCTTTACTATGAAAAGGTTTGCTTATTCAGTTTAAATTCTTTTTTGTATCCACATAGGCATGAGAAACTTAGTAAAAAAGTATGAACCACCCAGATCTGAAGAAGTTGCTATTCTGAAACAGAAGTTGGAGCGATGTCATTCTCCTGAGCTTGCACTTAATGTAATCTCGTAAGTTGATGTGACAGTGTTCATCAGTAGACATAAATTTTATCCAGTCCAGCTGGTTTGTAAATCATTTTATGGGTGTTTGCTCATTTGAGGAAAGCTGACTGATCGATTAAATCAGATTTTCTTTGTTGAATGGACATTTCTAACGAGATTAAACTTAAGATGTTAATAGTTCAGCATTCACTATCCTGCTGTGACTTGTGTTCTTTGGCTTGCAGGCCCTGTCCTGTTCTGTTACTTCTCATGGGATCTCAGGGGTCAGGGTCTTAAGGAATCCTTTAACCTTTTCCTGTTATTTTAATCTTTGGTCTCTGCAGTTGTGATATCTGGTCTGAGGAACAAATGTCCTTTCCAGACTTCTGTTAGCTAGAGTTGGGAAACTTGGCATACATACTTACTTTCGGTGACAAACTTTATATTGAAGATAAAGCCAATAGCAAAATAGGCTGTTCTTGTAGGCATAAGAGCACCTTTAATGTCTCTTAATTGATTTGTAAGCTGAATATGGAAATCACCATAGAATTTGCAATTTATGCTTTGCAAATTGAAAGATCGATTGAAATTTTTAAGTGTTTAAGCAGTTGGGAATTTGGGCAGGTACTAGGAGAAATGAAACTGACATTTTCTATTTCCTGTGGGATGCATTCTGTTGTTTAAAGTTACACCCTATATGTTAAAATTTAATGGGAGTTATCTGTGGCATCTTATAGTTATTTGGATATTATTTCTATAATTGGTGAATATGTGCTGCTGGATACGTATGAAAAGCCAGAATAGCATTCTTAGGTCCTTATGTCAAGTACACATGACTTAAATTCCTATACAGTTGTAGTGAGGTAGTATCTAAGGACTTAGGAAGTGTGCAGAATAGCATGATTTAGCACAGAACTTGAAATTGGTGGATTTCATTCACTTCCAGGTTTCAGTGGTAATAGGAATTTTTCAGATTAGTTATAGAGAAGAAATGTTGGCTTTAATTAATGAAAGTATTGCAGCACTGCTTATGTTCTTTTTGCATGGATTTTGATATGGGATTAGACCAGGGGTTGGCAAACTATGACTTACCAGGCATATCCAGCCCACTGGCTGTTTTTAGAATACAGTTTTGTTGGAATATAGCATACCCATTCATTTATTTATCACCTATGGCTGTTTTCTTGATACAATAGAAAAGTTGGTTGTGACAGAAACTGATAATAGGATCTGAAAGGCCTAAAATGTTTACTGTCTCTTTAAACAAAAAGTTTATCCATCCCTGGATTAGACCACTGAACTATTAACCCTACCCTTTCTAGCTAAGTAACTGAATGGACCATAATCCAAAATTCCTAATTGCCATAGCTTATTCTGGATTGCCATCTGCTTTGTACTGTGCCAAGCAAATTCTGAATATCTATGAGTATTTGAGGAGTGCTTCTCAAACTGTGAAGGATTTTTAAAAAAAACTTCACTAGATGTATACTTTTGAAAATTGAATAAAAAATGCATTACTAGAAAAGTGAAGACACAAAAACATAAGTTTTTTTTGTGTCAAGTTTTATTAGATTCAGGTCATAAAATGATTATATCAAATTGCTATTAAAAATTTCTAAACACACGATTCCTATACTTAACTCACTACAAACTGGAAATAGTCATGGACCAGCCCTGGTCCATGGACCACACCATGCGTTGTGCTACTTTAGGACTATTTGTTTCCCTTGATTTTCAAAATTATTTTACCTCTATTTTTCATGACACAAAAACTGTATTGTCATTGTCAGTCAATACAGGTGAAACCAAAGTTCCCTTTGATCAAAATTCAAATCTCTCATGACCTCAGAAGTAACTTAGTAGTTGTTTACCTTTGCCAGCCCTTTCTCTGCACGTATATCCATATGTGTGTATGAAATGAGTCGGGTTTTTTCTCCTTTGCATTAATCTTTATATTATACAAAGTGTAATTATCAATGTCTTACTTTTGCCAGTCTGGCTAAAAAAGTATCACATTGGCATTTTAATTTGCATTTTCTCAATTACTATGGGGCACTGAAGTTTCCATGTTTAACAGTCACTTATGTCTTCTGTATTGCTTATTTATAGCCCTTGCCCAATTGTCTGGCATTATTTTTGTGATTTGTAGTGCTTTATAGATTCTATATACAGTCATCCTTCAGTATCCATGGGGATTAGTTTTAGGACCTTCTGCTGATAACCAAAATTCATAGATGCCCTAATACAAAATGGCCTATTTGCATATAACCTATACATATCCTCCCATAAATTTTAAATCATCTCTAAATTACTTCTAATACCTAAATACAATGTAAATGCTATGTAAATAGTTGTTATGCTGTATTCTTTAGGGAGTAATGACAAAAAAAGTCTGTACATGTTCAGTACAGATAGAATTTTTTTTCGTATTTTCAATCCGCAGTTGGTTGAGTCCACTGATGTGGAACTCACAGGATACAAAAGGCTGATTGTACTTATTTACATATGATATATTCTATTGTTTTTCACAACCTTTTTTCCAAATAGTAGTTTTTGCTTCAGCTCCCATCCCCTACTTTTTTGAGACAAAGTCTGTCTCTGTCATCCAGGTTGAGTGCAGTGGCTTGATCTTGACTCACTGCAACCTCTACCTCCTAGGCCCAAGTGATCTTCCCACCTCAGTCTCCCAAGCAGCTGGGACTACAGGTGCTCAACCACATTTGGTTAATTTTTTAATTTTTTGTAGAGAGGAGGTTTCGCCACATTGCTCAAGCTGGTCTCAAACTCCTGGGCTCAGTGAGCTGCTGTCCTTGGCCTAAAGAGCTGGGATTACAATGGTGAGCCACAGTGCCCAGCAGGTCCCAATTCATTTTTTATTTCATGTTTTTCATAGTTACCTGAAATACTTTTTATTACACATTCAATTCATACTTCTGCATAGTCATTATTTTGCTTATCTAGTCTGATCATTGATCTGTTAATATCTCACTTTAATTACCATAGCTTTTATAGTGTGCTTTGAAGATAGCGCATGGTTTTTCTTTCCGTTCTCTGCTGTTTTTTCACACACACTTTCCTAGGTCAGTGTTAGACTTGACAGATTCCATGAAAAGTTTTATTGGGGTTTTAATTAGAATTGCATTAAATGGCTGGGCACGGTGGCTCATGCCTGTAATCCCCACACTTTGGAAGGCCGAGGAGGGTGGATTGCCCTTAGGTCAGGAGTTTGAGACTAGCCTGGCCAACATGGTGAAACCCCGTCTCTATTAAAAATAAGAAAAATTAGCCGAGCATGGTGGCAGGCACCTGTAATCCCAGCTACTCATGAGACTGAGGCTGCTGGGAGGCAGAGGTTGCAGTGATCCAAGATTGTGCCATTGCACTCCAGCCTGGGTGACAGAATGACACTTTGTCTTAGCAAAAAAAAGGAATGTATTAAATTTAAAGATTGATTTTAAAAGTATCTTTTCCCATTTATCCAGGCCTTGTTTTTCAGTAGATACATGACATTGCATATAGCCTTGCTAGTTTACTTTATATTCTTTAGTTTCTGTATCTGGTATTGGATTGCTTATTGATAGTTGCTTAATTATAGGAAGAAGAGGAAAGGCTATGAAGATGATGATTATGTCTCAAAGAAATCCAAACATGAGGAGGTATGTTTTACTCCAAAGATAAACTCTAAGTCATTTTTGTTATACATTCTGGTATACTGTTGAGATTTATTCTCCAAGAGTAAAAACACTATAGAAGTAAAAGAATTATAGAGTTGTGGGTTTTTTTTTCATTTTTTGCATACTTCCTTATGTACAGTGCTATTGTCCATTATTAAAGGGATTTTTATCTCTTCTGTCTTTACTTGATGAAGAATCCTTCCTGTGTTCATAGAAAGCAAAAGGGATACACATACCTACTACAGTTTTGCTTTATTTCTTATTCTCCAAGGATTTTGCCCTTACCCCCTTTTTAAAAAAAATTTGCACCTGTCAAGTCAGGTAAGTGAATAATCAGAGGCAGAAGGTCACAGCCGTAACCTTTATTCCTCATTGGAGGAGTCTGGTGAGACCATGCCAACATTACTAACAGTGAAGTATTACAAAATTTCCTGGTTTATCTTTCGTAATCCACATAGGTAAAAGGAAGAGAACATTTTCCTAATGGGAGGTAAAAGGTAAACAATACTGGTTATGCTTCAGTGTTATCCTTACCACATTTTTTTTCCTTCTTAGGAAGAATGGACTGATGATGACCTGGTAGAATCTCTCTAACCATTTGAAGTTCAGTTGTCAATGCTAACTAATCAAGAGAAGTAGGAAGCATATCAAATGTTTAACTTTATTTAAAAAGTATAATGTGAAAACATGAAATATATTAACCTATTTGTTTTTTCCCCCCTTTCACCGTAACTTTATGTAAAATAAAACATCTTCAAAAGAGCTAGAATAGCACTTGTTTCGGATATTCTTATTCCATTATGACTCATATCAAATTAAAGCTGCAACTTATTTGCCTAATCATTTTTTTAAGCAAAATATGATAGGTAAACCTATGCTTTTTTTAAAAAAAGGCACCATAAAAAACAAAATTCAGTAGCCAACTTTAAAAGTGTTGTAAGGAATGTGTTTTGTCCTCTAGAAACATTTACAAATGGTTTTTTGAATGGCATCCTGATATATTTAGCTATTTTTGCATTACTATTAAACTGCAGAAGGTATTTCAACTGTTACATGGTAATGAAAGCTAGTCATCTGGGTAATGAATATTACTTGTTTTCCTTCGTTACCCGAAAACATTTCCAAATGGGTTTTTTTAAATCAAATACATGATTTTGAATAGCTGTCAGCATAAAACTCTTAGGCTGGTATAGATGAGTAGGTAGCGCAAATTGTATATTCAGTTGTGGTATTTTAATTTTGTTTTGAGGTAGGGCCTTGCTGTGTTGCCCAGGCTGTCTCAAACTCCTAGGCTCTAGCAATCCTCTGCCTCAGTTTCCTGAGTAACTGGGCCAACAGGCACATACTACCATGGCCTTAGAAGTAACCTGTTACATCACCTGTAAGTGAGTCCGTGTAAGTAGATTATAACAACAGTTACTAGGAATTTTGCAGATTAAATATGTTCAAGAAATGTAATTCAGATTGAAATGAGCTGATATAAAAATATAAAAGCACAGACTATGACAGCAAATTACTTTTAGATATGAATCATGGCTGCCTCTATTTCAGTATGTGACCTTGGTAAGTTATTAAACCTCTGTGTGCCACTTTCCCACACCGAAATATAGGGAAGACAATAATGCCTACTCCTTATAGGATTAATCGGAATAGTACTTGCATACACTAAGTATTCAGTAAATGTTGGCTATTATAGTTGGAACCAAACTGCGGACGTCGGTATATCAAGCCAGATTTTTTCCAAGAAAACTGGCTTGAAAGAATTCTGAGAAATTCGTGTCCTGAATCTAATTAAATTGCACGAATACACACACCTCTTCAGTCTCAGTACATCCCAGGCTATACTTTCCAGAAGGGTAGGTACCATTATAATTACATCTTTATATTTTAAGGCAGTACTTAATGCATATTTCTCTCTCTCGCTAACAATCCTTCATATTGTAGGTTTGAGTTTTGTGGAGTTTTTTTCCCTTCTCATTCTGGAGTGAAAGGAATAAACTCATGATGTGAGATTTTGCAAAAGCAGAGTGGAAGAAGCCAAAAGTTGTAAATCCTCCATTGTAGTCTTAGTTAAGTACATTGCTGCTAGGCTGTAGACAGAATTGCAAGATGTTCACAATTTGTCTCATTTTCCCTTTCAGATCGCCAAACTTTGGCATCAGAGCAAGGTCCACACTTACCACTGAAAATTTTCCCACCCAGCCCCATTAAAAAAGTTAAAGTTTGAGAGATTTTATTTCAACACTGACAAGCTAGTTACTACCTACAAAGGTAAGTAACAAGTTTCCATTTCAACTTGAGACAAATTACATTAAAATATAAGAAGCACAGGGGAAGTCAGGTTTGTGATTTTAAATAAAAGGGAGAAGGATTTCAGGCTGAAGAATGACAGCTTAGTGTATGGCTAAAGATTAAGGGGCGATTAGTGGGAACCAAAATGCACAGCAAAAATATCTTGACTAGTTCATATCTTCCCTGTCGGCTATCATGTCACCAAGGAAGGAGACCACCTGGGATACTATGTTGGTCCAAGTTCAGCTGGAAAACACAGGGATGGAAAAGAGGAAAGGAGAATAATTTGATAAAGAGCCAAAAAGGGAGAGAATGGAATGAATTGAGTTGATGTCAAGGAAAAGGAGCACAGGACTTGAGATTTTTGCTATCAGTGTTGAACTGTGATTGAAGTCACATAAGGTTAGCAGCTCCCATAGAAATAATTGACTTTTATAGCTTGAAACTATGAAGCAGACATCTTTTAAACCCTTAAAATTTTTTTTCCCTGTATCTTATACATTGGAGGAATAGCATAAAGTGTTGCTCTTGGAATCTAGGCCTTTCCTTACTGTGGGAATACCACCTTGGGTTTCTGTCTCACCCACTTTGATTGATTACCAATGTCATACTGCCACATATGTTCCATATGTCTTATCTCCCCTGAACAACTATGAGAGGGAAGGAATTGTTGAATAATATAGAATTCGCAAAAGTACTGATCTGAAGCTTCAGCTTCTCCCTGGGCCTTGCTCTGATGCTAAGGTTTAAACTGCCCCTGAAGGAGGAAGAAAATAAACAAATTAAATGCTTAGCTCTATTTAGACAAAAGTAATCAATTATGCAAGATTTCCCTTGGTTTTATTTTAACTTAGCCTTTGTGAATACTTCACAAAAATGCACATACAGAAGTAAATAAAACTACACAGTTGAACTAAATATCCAGCAGATACAACAAGTAGTCATAAGTTCAAAGATGGATAAGTTAAGCAGCTGATGAGGTTGTCTGCATAATCAAAGGGGTAGCACAAATAATGAACAAATACATTTAACAAAAGCATTCTAGTTAACATAAAAGAAACTGGTAGTTTATAAAATGGTTGGATGGGTGACATGCATTGATCAACACAATAAACCAATAATATTTACTGAATTCAAACTATTTACTGTTTTGTAAACATTTAACAAAGCATTATGAGAGCTAAATACAGTCTTTGACAATTTTAAAATAAGTAGTATGTTTAAAAAATAAAGCTGATGAGCAATAGATCATTCTATATATTTTCTTTCAACAGTTCCAGCAAGAGAAATAGCACAATATTTTTTAAACGTATACAGCAAAGATTGTTCCTGTTATAATGACAAACTCTGGAAACTGTAAATACAAATAATCATTGAACAGTCAAATGGTCGTATTTCCTAATCAGGAAGTAGTTACAGTAAGAACAGTCTGCAATCCAGTTATACACATAAGAGAATGCTTTTTTGTCAGTTGATTTCATAGTTCTTCCTCCAAGAGACAGGAAAACTTTGGCAACTGGGTGTACTGAAAATATATTTTCAAAGTTCAAGATATAGTCATAGCATTTCATTTTGTGAAAGGTGATCTGTACACCAAGGCTCAGAGGTTGTTAAAGATTGATTCCATGTGGAAAAAGTGCAAATAGCCTGCACAGATAGCATACAAGGTTGCTGGCACAGTTACTCAACAGCAGAATCTTAGATTTTGTTTGCATAGCTCACACATCACTGGAATGTGGAAAAGTGTGCTATTTTTTGGCAAGAGCAAAGAAGACATTATACTGATGTGAATTACCATACTGGGCATGCCGAATCCATGCAGAACACTGGGGCGAAGGCTGCTACCTGACATCATTGGTTTTTGTATACTGGTGTTGTTTTTGTTGAAGCAATTCTGTTATAGCCAGGAGCTTTTTCAAGACGTGCTACACAGAAGGAAAAATGGTATGAAAATAAATGAAGGCTCAGTCAGCAATTTCAGAATGGGAACCTAGATTTGAAAAAAGCCATATCAAAGCAAAGGGATTCCTAAGATATTATCACAATTCCACTCAAAATGTTAAGTTTCTATTATTCAGTTATTGGCTGAGCATTTCTGGTCATAACTAAGAATTTTTATATCCTAAAGTGAACAGAAATTCATTTGTGCTTGGCATACTGCTATTTTTTAGGCCAGAACTATCTTATTTTGCCAGAAGCAGTTTACCTCTTTTTAAAAATCTATTTTTTTTTATTTAATATCTAAGGCAAGTCATTTTAAGGCAAGTCATTTAATTATTTTCTAGGATTCTAGTATCTCAGGTTGAAGAGAACTCAGTCACCAAACTCAATGCTTTAATCGCTTTTACAAAATCCCTGCTGAATGGTTTAGCCAGTGCAGTGACCGCATTCACTATCTCCTGAAACTACATTATAAAGTAGTAAAAACTCCCTGTGCTCACCTTTCAGTGGCCCTTATGTCAGCTGAAGACATTCAAAATGTAATTCATTTTGCTCTAATATTTTAATTAACCCTTAATTTTTTAATTAAGGTTTTAAATCCCTTAAAATTCTAGTCCCTCTTTGAATACATCCTAGTCTGTATCTGGTTGGTGCAGATGGCAGATAGAAGTCTATGTAGTGTGTAGGCCATGGATCACTTGCATCTGAATCCCTATAAATTCCTGTAAGAGTTTGTTAGAAGTGCAGCTTTCAAGGCCACACTTCAGAATCTCTGGATGTGAAATCTGACAAACATCCCAAATAATAGTAATTTGTTTCACAATTAGAGAATCACTTTGGTCATGCACTGTATCTGTATGTGACAGAAGACAAACTGAAAAAAAAAAAATCAATACTGACTTACTGGCAATTTTCACATATGCCACTAAAGTATATTAACAATGTTTTCCCATACAATCAACATTCAGACTCAAGAGCAAAATCTGATGTTTTTCAGTTTTAAATATACATCAGTTTAGTTTGGGCCTGTTATTTCTGTCTGCTGAGATCTTTTGTTATATGATTCAGTGTCTCAAAAATTTAATGTAACAAGATAAAAATGTTAACCAGAATTCAGCTGTTTATTACCTCTCAGAGTGTTAACCCTTGAAGTATCACTAATAATGAAGGCTGGCAAACACTTACCTGCTGTGCACCACGCTCATTACTGAGTGTTCGAAGTTCATCTGAGTGAGCCACGCAAATCTCATGCAATGCTGCTAAATCACGGGACAGGTCAGTTCTAGGATGCTCTGTAGTGTCCGGAAGTTCAGGTACATTCTTTAAGGGAATCATAAAATTGCATTTAGAAATACAAAAAAAAAGACAAATCTTTTTTTTTTTTTTTTGAGATGGAGTTTCGCTCTTGTTGCCCAGGCTGGAGTGCAATGGCAGCATCTTGGTTCACTGCAACTTGCACCTCGCAGGTTTGAGCAATTCTCCTGCCTCAGCCTTCCCAGTAGCTGGGATTACAAGAACCCACCACCATGCCAGGCTAATTTTTTGTTAGGTATACAAATCTTTATAGTCTCATGTGAAAAGATTCTAATCAGGTATTTTAGATAATTTTTTTAAATTCTCAGATTTATCTTAAAATTCTAAAGACTTTTAATGAAATATTCAGCATTGATTATGGTAAAATGTAAACTCTGTAACCTTTGTATTCAAATGAAAGCCAGATTCCATTTTCTTTCATAGCATGGCAGGATATGGTACAATATTATTGCTATTCTAAAAATAAAGGTGGAGGGTGTGGCTTCATAACAATTTATATCTGAAATCCAGAACATATGCCAAATAGTATAGGTTAACTGCTAATCTGGATTAAATTCAACCTAAACTTAAAATTCCTAGACTAAATTTCATTATTAAGCTCCTGTAGTTTGTCCTAATTGATCTGTATATAAGTAGGAGCTGCACTATGAAAATGCAATGAGAATATGTAAGGTTTGCAATTATCTGTGGACTGTGCTCAGAATGCTTGCTGATTTAATGTGGGAATAATCAGTGTTAATTATGATACCTTTAGATAAGGTTCATAAAGTAACTCAGTCACTAGAATTAAAGTTTATAGTATAAGTTGAATGTCACTTAACCCAAAATGCTTGGGACTAGAAGTGTTTAGGATTTTGGAATATTTATTTGCAGTATACTTGCCAGCTAAGCATCCCCAATCCAAAAATCCAAAATTGGAAATTTTCCAAGTAGCCTTTCCTTTTGGTGCTCAAAAAGTTTTGGCTTTTTTAGCATTTCAGTTTTCGGATTAGGGATACTCAACCTGTACTTTATTATCAACACTAAATGCCAATGTTACTTTAAGCCTTGTAATAACATTTAGCAAGGGCTTGGGTTACCAGTAAAGTGGGGGCACTATTTGCCTTACATAACTAAAAACTGCAAAAGAATATTTTCTATAGAATAAACAATTACGCAGAAGACATTCATTTAGTGACTCAAGTAAAGGATTATAGAGATGACAGACACCAAGTTTGCCTTCAGAGAGCTGACTCTAGTAGAAAGGCCTTTAGAAAAGTAACCATAGCAACACGGAGTTATGTATCACAGGTATGCAGGGGATACTTAGGAGGTAAAACAAAAGGTATTTTATTCATGTTTGGGGTTCAGCAAAAGCTTCCTGAAGGAGATAATAATTGAGGTGGGTCATCAAAAGTGAATTTGGTTTATACGGGTGGTGAGGAAATAAGAGTAGTATTATATTTGGATTCTAAGCAGTATGAAATCCTAGATTGTGTGGCATAATTTCTCACAGCTCCTTTTAAACATTACAGAAAAATGTTTTCCAGTGATTGACCACCTATATCCCAGTTCACATACAGAAGAATGAACTTTTAGCATTTTTGTCAATTTCACAATAGAGTTATGCCATAATTTTTCATATACTTGTTTTTATACCTGAGGCTGCGAACTAGTGACCCACATGCATGCCTGATGTGTTTGCCACAGTGGTATGGTTGTGGTGGTCTTTTTAACTGAATCAG